TCCCCAGTTTCCAGTCCACACTGACAAAAATAAGCCTGAAGCCTGATGCAGGATGCAGTAAAAATAAGCTATTATTATGCAAATATAATTAAAAGGTCCTATCACTTGATTATCTCAGTAGATACTCTTAAAGTAGGGGTAATAAGTACATAGTTCTTTAGCTAAATATGTTTTCCTGATGGGACATCCGTCCTGAGAGAACCACTTTGTAAAGTGAATTAGGGGTCTATTCAAATGGCATCCTCTTTGTTTACAAATTTGGTGTTAGCACTTCAAATCTTTTCACTGATTATGTCTCCCTCTAATTTAAAATATATAACAGTCTTCGGTGATCTGTGACTGTTGCATTAGTATTTACTTCTTGAATTTAACGTAGTTTTTCTTTCTTCTAAGCCTGCAGAAAGTTGTTTGTTTGTTTGTTTGTTTAGTTGATTCATAGGGATGCCTTAAGATTGCCAAGAGACCTAAACGATCAACCAAGAAAGTGATCAACTCTTAGCCACCATATTGAGCTAGTAGATCTGAACTCAGGTCTTTGACTTCTCCACTGCTCATTCCACAAATCTGAGTGGTCTTTTAGTCTTTCCTGACTTCTGCACCCTGTACATTATTTTTGTCCCCTTGAGTAAGATGTCATTAAGATTTTTTCTGAGTTTTATCTGCTACTACAGTGGTTTATTCTACTCAGACCAACATTTCAAACTGTTATATCTTTTTATTAATGGTTTTCTATAAATATCCTCAATACTTCCAAAAAGTCCATACATATGATGGATGGGATCTATTTTTAAATCATTCATAAGTCATTGTATTGAAAACACTATTTGTAGTGCAGATTTTATTCACATTGTAAATGACATGGATTTTTAACAGGGGCTCTATTTAGTCTACAGAACTGGCCTAGCTTGGAAGAACCAGCTGCTGTTAGTGGAGATGAATGGAGATTTTTCCAGTGGTCACTCTCTTGTCTTACTGGGGGGTGGGGAGAATAATTCTTGGAATTATTTGCTGCCTAGAGTTAGCCACCTTTAAAAGCTAATACCATTTTTCTGCAAATGATGGCAAAGGGAAGGAGGGAATTTTTGGAGGTTAACTGAAACCAAAATAGAGTATACAGGGAGATGGAGGAGCATAACCACTGTCACCACACGGTGACCCTGTCACCACATGGTCTTATGGTAAATCCTTCTATAGTGTCTTTGTCATACAATCTTCTGAGTTTCTTCTACCATTGAACTATTCATTTCTTTAATATCTAGAATTATATTCATAGCTAAACACATTATAGTCAAACACATCCATACAAAGTACATGGATTTCTCTGTTTCACTACCAAAGACATTACAAAGATATTTAGAACACTGGTGTTTCTGCTGTCAACATTTTGAGGTACATGATGAGTAAATGGAATAGCCTTACATCTTTCGGTGGTAGAACTGTCAAGAAGAGTTTGTCTTTTTTGCCCCACTTCCCCCAAATGTGGACTGTTTCAGAATCCATTACAGAGGAAATAGACAGTTGATTTTAAGTTAAGGATGAACCTAACAATCATTTGCACTATATTGATGTCAAAAGTATCTCTCTAACAAGCTTTAAAATGCATCTTCAAAAACTACTGAAAATATCCAAGAACTTTAGTGATGAGCTACAAATGGACTTGGGTATTGATAAATAAAAGTCAATATGTATAGTGAAAGGACAACTTACTGTGATAAATGGGCCCACCATCAGTAAAGATCAAATTATTGACTATCTAGGGCAAGGAAAAACCTGTCTATAGCTAACTTCTACAGGTGAGAAGAATTAGCCACAGCAGCAATTTAGGGAAAGCTCAAAGAGATATGTTAAGAGAATTCATTAAAAATGCATATAAAAGTAGGCAGCAACATTCTGTTAAATACATTTGTGACACTAGGCTAATGTATTTTTTGACCATGCCTGGGTTCACACCTTTTTTTCTTTTGCCTTGAATGAGCTCCCTTTGGGCTACCCATACTCCTTTCCAAGGAATTCAAAATTCACTCCCCAATCCTCCTATTACAGGAGAATTACTGCTGCATTCCTAAAAAGTATGTCACTCTTGGAATATTGTCTCTAATGCTCCTACTAGTTACTTTTCATTATACCTCAACTAGATCACAAGTTGTATGAGGGCACATTTGAAATGCCTTTATTTTCTTTTTACCCCTCCCATGGTCTAGCACAGAGTTCTACCCATAATAAGGGCTAGATCAATATTTGTTGATTTCATTGTTTTTGAAATGATTCATTAGGGAAGCTCTGGTCACACATCATGTCAGAGTTTAATGATGAAACATCACAGAAAACACCCAAAAGAACAATTGCAAAGATTAGCCTATCAAAAAAAAAAAAAAAAAAAAGTGAAATGGCAATAATTAACTTCTCCAATGTCTGCTGTTCCCAACTGACAGAATGAAGGTATTTCCTATATAGTAAATTTAACCAGGTACTCTATAAATTAGCCAGTAAAAATGACAAATCATGTTCCATCTCAAATTTGGAAGCTGAAATGTAATTAAGCAAAATATCTGAAGAATAATACCCTTTCTACTCTCCTACCCCTTCACAAAGACACCGTTCAGAATCAGAGGTAGAGACAAAAATAGCTGCAGGATACCTACTAGTGTGAGTTTAATGAAGATCATGCAGCTATAACTATACCTAACTTTCTGACTTTCTTGAGAGGTTTGGGATGTCAGTTCAACCTGGGACCACTTTATTGTCACTAAAAATTGTTACTGGCATTTGCTATGTGGTTCTAATACCATGCTCTCCTCCTTGAAGTCCTTATATCTAGAAAAGAGTCTTACTGGAAGAATAAATGAATGAATCAATGAATGAAAGTTTTAAATTATGAAAGAACAATGTATGGGATGACAAGTGGAATGCATTTGCCCAAATAAACACAGGTGCTAACTCATTGGCTGTTAATAATAGATTTAGCTGTATGATGAATCCCCTAGTAATCCCCTATTAGAAACACCAATGTAAATATTTCAGAAAATTAACAAGATATTTAGGGATAAAAAAATTAAAACAGTCTAGTAAATCTTGACCAGTGTAATAGTTTTCTGCAACTTTGATACATTTAATTATCTGCTTAAACATATTACAAAAATTGATGGATTAAAAAATAATCTGTAAATATGATCTAAACCGAGAAAAATTAAATTAAAGGGAATTACACCAATAACTACTTAGGCCATATGTGTCTCCCCTTCAAATTATACACTACCCCCACCACCATCTTATAAATATGCAACCTTTGTCTCAAGTGGGCCTAAACAAGAAACTGAATGGATCTAGTTGAAGATAATTCAAAGCACATACCCTCGTGGGCCAGGAGGACATCTAGCATGGTACCTCTGTTTCATTCATTTGTTCACTCATTCATTCCACAAATCCTTTAAGAATACCTCTGATGGCCCATGGCATACAGAGATGAATAAAACAGACATGCTATGTACTTCCATATTTTTTTTGAAAACTTAAATGCCAGAATTTCATACGTTTCCCATATTTCGTTCTCTAATAAAAGGTTTTAGAGAAGCACTGGATTCAAACTCTATGCTCACACTTTGACAGAACAGAGGAGAACTGTGTTCTGAGAGGTTGGTGAAACTCAAGAGAATATTTGGATCAGAATTATGTTACTAGTCTCCTTTAAGGTGTGTATACAGTAGGCCTCAGGTTACGATCACCAGTGCAATAAAAACTCCATGGAAAGAAGATGAGGAGTGTGGGTGGTGTGAGTTCTGCTCATGCTGCTTTAGACCTTGGGTTGTGTTCCTTTGTGTCACTTATTGAGTATGTGTGTGAAGTGACACAGCCTCCAGCCTCTGTGTTTGCTCTATCATTTCCTAATGGAGGTTTAGGAACAGTGGCCAGGCCTACTCACTGTGCCAACAAACATATTATTTCATGAATGACTTATATAATTTCTTTTTTGTTTTTATGGCCTATAAATAATATGCCGTGTATGTTATCAAGATCTGAAGAGAACGTAGTAGTGTTTATTGCAGCAATTTGTGATAGATAAAATTAGCAATAGTCAATAATATACATATTTATGTAGTTTGGCTTCAAACAAGTAAGTATAACAATTTATATTATTGGGGAATTGCTCTGTTTTGTTATTCACAGAGTTTTTTTCATGAAGCCAATATCCACTCTTCCTGACAAGGGATTCCTTGAACAAATATAACATGGAAATACGTTACTCAGGGAGATAAGTTAAACCAAGTATTACAACTTGTGCAAAAATGTGGAAACTTGAGACTGTTTCTCTAATGAACTAGTGGTATAATGTGTTTATAGGAAATTTTAGATTTCTGTGCTCATTTCTATTTCTGTTCATAATTCCTACCCAGATAATAATGACAAGTTGTTTGGAGACAAGTTGTGTGAAATCACCGTTCAAACATTAGTCCTTCTTATTAAACATTTGCGAAGTATTTATTCTCTATTTTAAATTTTATTTGTATAAGGCTTTTATTTTTTGTGTGTTTAGAGTTTTTAATTTGATGAAGGAGAAACAAAATGCATAAAAAATGTTCACCAGCTGTGATTTGTGCGACAAAAGGAACCATTGCATCCACACAGAGCTGGTCTTTCTAACTAACCAGTCCAACGTTCCGTCTGTGTCCTGTGGCTGTTAATTGACTATATCGTTTTAGATTTATGCATTAAAAATACGATTTCTACTTTGAAGGGATCACTTTGTTACTTTGTAGCTTTTAAGCTGATCCCATGAACTTATTTTTCTTGTAAGATAAAGTCTCATCTATAGATTTTGCAACTAATTACATGTCTGCCAATACATACTTAGAGGATACATTTTATTTCAATTTATTATTTGTGTTTACATAGTGTGTCCCTGGAAATATCTGTGGAACTTAAAGGAAATGTTTCAGTGGTGTTTATTACTACTTTTTCACTGTTCTCTCTTTCTTCTCTCTCTCTCTCCCCCCTTTTAATAGCTCCAGTCAGTCCGGTCAAGCATGACAGCGACTCAAACTCGGCAAAGTTCCAAGACACTGAGGACATGCCTGACAGATGTGTCTTGGAAGAGTCTGAGAGTCCAGGTGAAAGCCATTTAAAAATAGTCAAGTATAAAATGATAAATTTGACACAGCTTTGGGGTCCTTGGAAGGGGGTGGCGGGGAGGACATTGTAATGCTGTTTTCTCTTAGCAGCTGCACTGTCAAATTAATGGTCACCTCCAGGGGTCACAGTGTGGAGCTGTTACCTTTTCCTCTTTCATCAGGAATTCAGTTGGAGGAAGTACAAAGGCTTTATGACTGAGAAGGGAAGCTGACACTATTAGTTCATTATCATCAATTTTAAGCTAAACTGGAGAATAGAGGCCGAGATTGAAAACTGGAGAAGTGGCAGCATTTTAAATATTTCAAATAATGGGATCAAGCGGAAGGAGAGAGTTAGAGACAAAAGAGACACAGATTGCCACCATTACAATCTATTTACCTTTCTAAATACAAACAATGCTCTCACCTGGACAAAAGTGCTCTAATCTGGACGATTTTAGCATAACAGTAATGGACTCATGGACATGTCAACTGTTTGGAACAAACAGAACAAAAGAAAGTAATAACCCTTCCTCATGCTACATCCCAAGTTGCTTATGTTTGTATTTTCTTTGTAGAAAGAATAGACAGAAATATACTGGAAGGATAGAGCCAGAAACACTTATGCATGGATTTTTGTTTCTGCTTCTGTCTTGTTTCAAAACATGCCTAGTCTTTAACAAATAATTAATTAAAAGGAAAAAAAAAATCCTGTGGAGGTTGAATGACATTCTTGGATCACTGCAAAGCCTTAAGGTGCTAGAAGGTACCTTATTACCATGAGTGAAAGAGTTAACTATCTCCCCCCACCGAACAGTTTTTCTTCCCTGTTTTCTCTGGCTGCTGGGTACCCTCGACCCTCTTGCATCTTTGTGTGCTGATCCTTGTATCAGATTTTTTATTCATCCTCTCTGTGGCCTGTCAGCTTAGTTAAGAGATTTCCAAATCTTGTAGCCTTCGCTGACAGGGGGCAGCTGCAAACAGTCCCCTGATCCTTCCCCGAGGAGAGCTACTGAGATTTAATTTTCAGGGAAAGGTGCAGCCTGCAATCTATGTCAGGTCCCCTAAGTCATCTCGGAACCCCAATAGGCCCAGTGGCGATGGCATTGTATTTCAGTTCCCTCCACTACACCAAGATTCCTCAAAAGATGAACTGCTGCAGTGTGTCTGTTCTCAACCACACTTCTGCTTTAGCATCCCATGGAACTGACAAATGGCACCTTTCACAACGACAGAAAATTTTAATCAGAACGTTAATCCCACCCGCTGCCATAGTATCTAAAAAAACAAATGCAGGTTAGTCCCACTCTAACAGGGAGAGAGTAGTGGTAGCATTAAATTTCTATTAAATTATTTATAAATTGCTTTTAGTTTTGACAAAGATTGCCTAATAGTGACTAGATTTTTAAACTGTCTTAATACATAGTTTCCTATAAACCCTAAGCAGTTAAATCCATGAGTCAAGTTTTTACTTGTGTTAACTGTTCACTGTTTTGGGCAAGAATAGATTGGCTTTATGTCATTTCAAAAGTAGTATAAATTTCGGTCATCCCTCAACATGAGTGGAATTGTAGTAAAATTCAAATATAACATAGTTCATTTGATATAAACAAAAGCATATATCAAAACAAAGATTAATTAGTAAAGAGAGGTACTGATAAAGAATCTTAACTTAAAAAGTGAGTACTGTTCTATACATCGGACATCATTAAACGGGTAATAAAGAATGAATTACTCTGGCTTTTTCCTCTGTCCATTCCTGCATTTTAAGACATCTTGCCTTATAGGCCTAGAAACCTCTGGAGAGTTCACTACTGGTCTCACTGCCTTCCACTGAGAATTTGTGGCTTGGTTGTCATGGAGACATCGTATTTCTCCAAGAATTGCTCATATTGATCCGTGGCCAGGCGTAAATGGCCAAGCGAGTGTGAGGAATAAAGGGGGCTGGGCAGTCCTATAAAATGACCAGGGCTTGTGGGTTGGAAATAAGCTCATAGCAAACACTTAGGTAAAAAGAAAGAAGCAGTTTTATTTTGTTTCAGGATTTCTTTCTGTACTTTGGGCCATTGTCTTCTTTCACTATGAACTGAAAGAAACTTGTTAGTCACTTGTCATGTCAGATCTTTGGTGCTTGTCCTGACACAGCTGTCAGCCTTCCAGCTCTGTGCAGTTCAGGGACACACAACAAAGAGGCAATGACATGAATTATTTATTGCTCCTTGTGTGGATAAAATTCTGTGATAAGAAATTAAGACACTTCTGACAGAGGTGCTTGTTTAGTAAGAAAGATTTTGATGAGAGAGTGCATTTCCTTGAAGTATGAGCATTTGAGAGGGACAATTCCTAAAAATGAGCACGAAGGAAGATATGAGAAATTGGTGGCATAGAGGGACTTTCTCGAACTGTGAAAATATGACTGTCCACTTCTCAGTGTCCCACAATTAACTAAAAAAATAGCAAGGCATTCAGATGGAGGGGCTCCAAAACTATAAACATCACTTTGGTGGTTTGGGTACCTCTTTTTACCACGTATGAATGGTGTTCTTCTGGAAAGTATATTTAACCACTTTTGTTAGAAGAAAAGGCAAAATTTGGGGGTTTTAAGTGATAAGCTTTGGGAAGGTGCTGTCAAATCAAGAGAGGTGCTTCCATAGCTAAGCTTATAACTGCATTGGTATATTCATTATTCCCTATATGGAAAGGAGTGCATTTAAATCTGAATGCATCATTCTCACCGTTTTCACCTGGCATATCATCGTTCATTTAAAAGTCCTTCTAATATTTTCATGTACATGCAAAATCCCCCCGTTACAAAGTTGAATGTGGTCAGTCTTCTAGCTTTAATGGATATTGACCTTACATGGTTTTATCTATGCAACTCTAAATGACTAATATATTTATTACATCATTTTTAATGAACAAACCAGTTGTTCAAACAGCACATATAAAATGAAAACAAAAATCATTTTTCCATCCAAGCACAGTTCAAGAATATTGCCTCATATATTGTTCTTTCCAAATAAAGTCTTTTCTTTGCAAATCCTCTAAACATAATTTTACTTTAAACCTTAGAGTTTCATATTTGTGATACCAATTCATTTGCATTTGCAGAGAGGAAAGGGATATTGAAGCACAGAAAAACTATAATAGTTTATTATTTAAGGTAAAGTCAAAGTTTCTTAAACATTGATATAATATTTTAAAATTCCATTGGTAAAATCGATTTTTTTAATTTATGTAAAAAATAAGATTGACTTTATGAATTGATTATCTTTGAACGCAAAGGGTTTTGAACTCAGTCAGAAGATTGTTTACTTTCCCACTGGCATCACTGCTTCTTCAGGAGTGAAGTGACTAGGATGACCCATTTGTAAATGGGCCGGAGTGTGCATACAGGTCACAATTTAGAGGCCTGGTGAAGTGGTTGTTCACCTGGTCTCTGGAGCACTCTACCTATTCATCATGCCGTTGTGATCTCTTTATTGGTTCATGCTGTATACCCAGGTGAGTGCCTGCAGTCCATTAAGGTTGGCAAAGCAACTTTAGACCAGAGCATTCTTACTGCTCTGACCCTGTCAGTGAACCTGGAGGTCTTGTCTGTTAGGTTAAGGTCTCCCTCAGCAGTGTCTTTCCTTTGGAATAATTCATTAGCAAAGAGTTTTGACTCACAGGTGAATCCCAGATTGAAGTTTCTGGCTTAGACTCTGTGAAGTCTACTTGCTTCTTCACTGGCATTTATACATTCCCAAAACCTGTGGGAATAACTTGATGTCTAGTAATAGAAGCACCACCGAGATAACGTTGTGAACTTACAGCTCCCTTTGTTTTCAGATTTTAGGGCCATTATAATGGCTTTCTTTCTTTGGCTCTTTAAAGCCCCATCACTTCTGAATCTGAAAGATGCTATCACAAAAATAGTTTAGTGCAGTCTTTTGCTGGTTAACTTCTTGTTGACTGCTTCATACACAATGATTAAAGCTCAATTCCTATTCTCCAGAATATAATAAAAAGCGTTCCTTGTCCCTTATCTTTGCACTCATGATGATAAAAAATTTAGTGTGACATTCACAATTTTTATCCAAGTGTTAATGAGAGACCTTGAGCTTTTATCACCTTATTGGCTTGGAAAATTAAGGATTTTACTTCCTAGTGCACTAGGGACAGGGCACTTAAATATAGCTTCAACTGAAAAATAGCAGTGACAAGAGAGAGCTTGAAAGTACAAAAAAAGGCATTCAGATCAGCATTTTCACGTCATTCTGAAGTAGTTTATAATCAGTATGCATTCTGCCATTAATAGAACATTTTAGTGGTTTTTATATAGCACGTTATGTGTATAGATCTATATACATCATTGTCAATCAATATTGCATTTGCATGAATCTGATGAACAAAACTAGGTTTCTCACAGTTTCCAGCGGATACTACATTGTGAAAAGCCAAGATGGAGGGTTTTTTTTTTTCTTTTACTATTCTAGCTCATGAATCAACAGCAAAAATCAGGTAACAGAAAGTAGGACAGATTCAGGACTGGAGTGTTGGAGATGGCTGATGATGATGCATGAAGCAGAAAAAATGTGGAATGTGTGAGCAGCCCATCAATCATAGCTATCGAGAACACACTTCTTAGGGTTAGTGCTAAAAAAAAAAATGTTCTAGATGTAAGAACAATTTCAGTAGTAAAAACACATAAGCCCTTTCTTCTAGTTGAGTTTAACAATATGAACATTTTTAAAAAGTTACCCAAATGGAAAAATTTAAGCATTAAGCTAATAATTTTTAAAAGATGTAAAATTCTAGACATAAACACACACACACACACACACACAATTATACATGTAGCTATATATATAAATGTATAATATATATTTAACTAAGCCAAATAACCAGTTTTTTGAGTCTTTGCCAGTAGGTGTAGGAGTTATTATGTTTGCATGGTCATGTCATTAATATAAATGTATTTAGAAATAGTTAACTAAGGCACAATGCTCCAGTATGTTTGATAGTCAAAATAATTTAAAACAAGTGATAGTTTTTAGGCTACAATGACAAGCATCTAAGTAGTTTGAAAAATAAATGCTCTTTTGATTCTTGAATTCAAGCCAGTTTATAAACTACCATTTATAACATTTGATCCTAAAACTGCAGTTGTGGGTTTCCTTGAGAGAAACTGACCTACTTGAAATTTATGCAAATTCATTAATTTCAAATCCAACTCATCTTGTTGAAAACTGTCATCTTTCTTGGCAATTAAAAGAAAAAAACAACTTGCAACCTGTCATAATAATGTGTACAATTCATTTGCCTGAAGCCTAGTTTATAAAAATATTTTTATTATAGTAACATATTATATTATAGCATAGAAAAGAAATATAGAAATTATAGGTAATTCTTTTCTTCCTTCACTTCCTTTCTCATTCCTTCCTTCTTTTCATCCTTCCCTGTTTTTCCATTCCCCTCTTACCTTCTTCCTCCTTTCTTCTTTCTTACTTCTTTCTTTATTTACTATATAACCTGATAATCTGTTTCCTTTCTAGGTAAGCCAAGGCATCATTCATGGATAGCAAAGGTGTGCTCCTGTAAACTGTGCTAAATGGAATCTTATCTATAGGAATTGGATTCGGACAAACTATGAAACCCAAACATGCCATTTGTTTATTGTTGTATTAAAAACTATGCTGTTATTGGTCATTATTAGATTGTAAGTAGATTTGCTAATGCCTTAGAAAGAGTGTATTGAAAATGTAATTACTGATTAAAAATATCCAAATTGATCTAATTTTTGAAAAACATTGTGGAAATCATTCTATATTCTTGCTTCTTATTTTCCTTTAAAATTTACAACAAGCAATGTCAGTCTGCAGACACAAATTTTAACACTGTTTTAGATTTTCTTCTATCTTTTCAGTTCCTAAATGATACAGGCAACATTAAAACCACATTGCTTTTAAATAAGATACAATGCTTCTAAATTTAATGATGCTTCAATGTATTTAATCTAAAACTTTACTAAATTTTTTTGATTTGCTAGGTTAGGACATTTTGTTTTAGTATATGCTTTAATATGGCTCAGTCACCCTGCAGTAAATCTCATCAAAGCATAAAATGTTGTCAACAAATACTGAGTTCCATTTAGTCATCAATTAGCCCAAATAAGTGATAGACAGTATAACAGGGACCAATCTTATGTGGTCAGGTTCATTTGGACTTCTAATGATATAGAAGCTAATGTATTCAGCCAAAGGTTGATTTTGTTGGCCATACACATGTAAACTATATATCTACTTACAGCACATCACAATTGATCCTTATTAAGTATAAACTCTTGTAGTTCTTTTCCCAGAAAGAAGCTTGACTAGCAGGAATTTTTAAAATAAAATATGAAAGCAATATAAATAGGAACAAAGTTCTCATCTATTAAAGCCCTTAGTGATCTGATTTATTTGCTGTGCCTTATATTGTATAATTCCTGGATTGATAGAAAATCATTGAAAAGTAGTGTGCATATAAATACAAATATTGCCTAACCCATAAAAATGGAAATAAAATGTTAAAGATGTTAAAGATACTATCTACCTACCTACCTACCTACCTACCTATCTACCTACCTGTCTATCTATTTATCTATCTAATAGGGAAGTTCCAGTCACTTCAATTCAACAAACATTTTTGAGGGCAGCAGCATCTGGTCCTATGCTGGGATGCAATGGGAGATTAGAGAAGAGAACTATATATTGGAATAGCTATATATAATGGTCTCTACCTTTAAGGAACTTATAAGTAATGACTGACCTGGATGAATATACCAAAACAGACATCCAATGAGTGTGACTCCTTTAAAGCAGACATAAACCTGTGTTCATTTTTTTGTCTCCTAGTAATATGACATCATTGCTTGAAATTGTTTTTGAGTTGTACTTCACAAAGAGTAACATATTATCAATATGAATAATCATGGAAAATTGTCATCTTTTGAAAATCAACATATATACACACTCCCCCCCCCCCCCCACACACACACATTAGAAATAGTCCACAGCTACTTGGAATAAGTTTCAAAATAAAGGAAGGTAGCAAGCTAGGCAATGGAAACCATTTTCTTACATGCTGTGCCCTGGCTCTGTAGGTCATTACAAGAAGGTCTACCAAAAATATTTTTATGATGGCACTTTCAAATATGTATATATTCTCTCAAGAGGGCAATTTTAATAGTTAAAACTTATTTGAATGCTTAAGTTCTGTTATATTTATTAAAAATAAGCTTTGTTTTTATAGCTATGTCCTATTATTCCCTTTTCAATGAAGAATAAAAATAAATTTAAGCAGTTGCCATATTTAGCATTTTCCGGGACTAAGGAAACCAATATTGAATCCTTGATAAATATTTTATGATGTCACCAGATATAGGAAATTAGAATTGGCATAACGCTGACATTACTAAATGAGATTTTTAAGATTTTTTGGAATCACATTTTGCAGTTGCTAAAATTTAATAATTTGTATTAAATGACTAATTATAATCTTCTTTTATTGATATGAATTCTGGAGGCCAACACCATTAACTATTAAAGCTTTTAATTCCTAAAAATGAAGTTTTAGAGAAAGACATTTAAATAGCATTCTCCAATATCCAGGTGCAAATGTGGGCAAGTCCACCCGTCTGTTTAAAAATGATTTCCTGGGGCGCCTGGGTGGCTCAGTCGGTTGAGCGTCCGACTTCGGCTCAGGTCATGATCTCACGGTCCGTGAGTTCGAGCCCCGCATCGGGCTCTGTGCTGACGGCTTAGAGCCTGGAACCTGCTTCGGATTCTGTGTCTCCCTCTCTCTGACCCTCCCCCGTTCATGCTCTGTCTCTCTCTGTCTCAAAAATAAATAAACGTTAAAAAAAAATTTAAAAAAAAATGATTTCCTTATATTGACTTATGTTCAGCATGTTTCAGCAATGTTTCTCATAAGGAGAACTTGAAATAGCAAGTTGCCACCCAGTTAACTGGATCAGCCACATGGTGACCCTAATCCCTTGGTACCACAGCTAAAAACTCAAAATTCTTTGCTTCTTGAATAGGTGCTTATCCTTTGTTGGCCTAGCAAGGGAAGTAATTGTATTAGCAAGCAGCTAATTTGTTTGTATCCAGTGTCTTCCTTGTTGTTGTCATAAATAATTAATTAAAAAATCATCTTGTGTTTCTTTTTTGTCGTTAATCTTGGTGATATTTAGGATTATCTATTTCCCTCCAAGGAGTATCAGATTTTCAAATTTCCAAGTGGGGATTCTGTTACTCATTGTGGAATTACATACAGGCTACTCTATTGCTGGGGAAAAGTTTAAGGGCCCAGGCCTCACCACCATATGTTCAGGTAGCTTGTCTTTGCTGTACTTGTCAGAGAGCCTTGCTTCCCCCTGGATGTGGAGAACATCCTCTCAGGGCTTGGACAAAGGCAGTCCACAAGATGGTCCCTGGAAAGCAATCTGAACACTGTAAAACACTTCAAATATAAGGTAAAATTTATAATATTCTAAACACACAATTAGAGAGGTGGCCTCAGACCTGAAACACTCTGTTGCTGTATTAGAAACTAGTTAAGGCTGCTTTGAATGTGTCACTATTAGAAAAATGATAGGAAAACATTTTGCTGAATATTAATTAACATTCTATCCCTAGATAGTAGTACTTGAGGTGATTTTTATTTCCCTCCTTGCACATTTTCCTCTGATGTTCTGTATTAAAAAAAAAAAACAAAAACTTTTATAATTATTCAAGTGAACATTTTAGAAAAGATAGTGTTTCTCTTCAATCTTTAGAGGACATGCAAGAATTGAAATTTTAAGAATTGACGGGGCACCTGGGTGGCTCAGTCGGTTAAGCATCCGACTTGGGCTCAGGTCATGATCTCGCGGTTTGTGGGTTCCAGCCCCACATCGGGCTCTGTGCTGACAGCTCAGAGCCCGGAGCCTGCTTCAGATTCTGTGTCTTCCCCTCTCTCTACCCCTCCCATTCTCATGCTGTGTCTCTATCAATAATAAATAAATGTTTAAAAAAAAACAAGAATTGTGTTATGCCATGTGTTTAAAATGAAGGCTCAGAGTACATTAATGCCAATTGATTCTGAAGTCTTATTTTCACAGAATGGACTTATTCATATAATTTTTAAAATTTTATATTGCATACATTTGATTATACAGTTATTTAAAAGCAGTACTATATATGCTGTGATTCTCCATGAAGTCTTGTTGTACATGTCAAGGACCCAAAGTTGTATGTAATTAAATATGAAAGTCCTTGCTTTGTAAACATGTACGTAGTTAGCATCGTAAAATAATTTCAAAACAGCACAACTAAAAAAGTTGCCAAGTTAAAGCTTTCTGGAATGGCTTGCTTTCTGATGAAGTTATGTGGCCTTGTCCCGAAGACACTTTGTGCTGTGATTTCATCAAGGACCTTACAGATGGCATGTATGAGAAACATGCAAACAAGAAATGAACAGGTCTCTCAGTGTGCGCATGCCACGGTGGGGGTGGGGGTTGGGGTCCATCCAGCCTGAAACCCTGGAAGACATCATGTGTCACCTCATCTCATCTCATTGGCAGGGCACAGACTGCCTTGCCACAATTCCCTCACTCCTGCCACCCTTCAACCAACTTTCTCAGATCCCATTTTATTTTAAATTTGATATCATGGATTTGGGACATTAATTTGACTTTTTAAATTTTGTATTAAAATACATTCATCCCGAGTACTGAGTTCTTTTGCCACCACCCTAGTCTTAGGCCCTGTTTATTAAATCTGGATAGATACACCTTTATCCCAAAAAGTATACCACAGGTAAATAGACTGGAACAATCACATCATTGTGAGAAAGATTATAATGATACAAAACCCTGTGAAAACTAAAGCCATAAACCATTGAGAATGTTTGAAATGGCTTACTTCTAGTGGTGTACAGGGGGAAATATTGGGCATCGATGGTTCTTCCTTTTGACAATGTTTCTCCAAATGCCTTTTTTCATTGCACAGAGCATGTTTTCCTATCATCAATTTTAAGGATCCTTTCTGTCGTCAACACACTACTAATTGGAAAGGTAGCAGTAATTTTTCATTCAAGGATCCAAGGTTTTTAACACCAAAGATAATTTGTACCTGTTTAGTATAGCCCTGCCTAAATCTGCAAAGTGCCAAATGCCAGCACAACACCAGTATCCATAGCATTATGCAATAGGAATAATTGGTTGGTACATGCTTGCAAACCTATCATTTATTCACTTAGCAATTATTTTAATTGCAATTATCTGTAAAGTCATCAATTGGCTTTTCGATCTTGCATGTGTATTTTCAGGGGAGGAGGTGTTTTCACACAGCCTCAGTAACGGAGCATCATGTCCTAGAATGATGCCATCTAAGATAAAAGGACAGTCTATGACGTGTTCTTGACACATCACAAGTTTCCTCTAGACTTTTAAAGAGATTTTCTGTTAATTGTGCAGTGGCAACTACATTTCCTATCAGAAATAAACTCTCTTATCTATATGAAAAGACTTCTTCCATCTATGTTATCTCTATTTCAATTTACAATCATAATCAAAAGAGAAAAAGTATTTAAATTTTTCTTTTTGTATTTTAGAGGGTTCCAGGGAGGGGAGGGAAGGAAAGAAAGAACAAACCTATAACAGTGAGATTAAGAGCCTTCATCCTGTCCCTAAAACAATCATAGCCACAGGGACCAGGTTGCACTTAGGACCGTTTTAATGATAAGGAAGATTTCCTTGGATCAGCCTCTATTTCAAATGATCAGTGTATTTTCGCCAATCTAAGCAAAACCATCTGGTCCAATTTATGGAAGAATTTCAGACAGGAAGTGAGGCAAATATATTAAATATTATCATTTCAGTTGTCTTTCAGATAGTCAAGAAACAAATTTGGGGATTTCTGAAGTGTGATTCCATAGAAAGTATATTTCAGTTGATTCCTGTCTGCAAAGGTGTGAGTTTTTGTTTGTAGGCTTCCTGCCATGTAGGTGGCAGCAACACTCAAGGCTAGAAATTTTCTTTCACATTCTCCAAGCTCTAGTCTAAACCACATTCTTACTAAAAACCCTTGTGGAAGAGAAAAGGTTTAAAGTGTAGAGACAAATTTCTCTATGTCCTCACATATCTCTAAAACACTATTTTAAGGTTGTGCTAAAGCGGTTCCCATAATGTGAAAACATTCATCATTTCCCTTAATACAGAAGTCATATTCTGCTCTCGTACATGTTGGTAGTATTAGGCTTTTGTTTCTTTATTTACTAGGATCTTAATTCTTTACCTTCTCTCAAGCTAAAGCTTTTCTCTCAAGAAAAAGGAAGAAAACTGGTTTATTCCATGACCACCTAGGCTTTTCTGGGAAATAGCAAAAGCCTCTCCTTTCATTCTTTGTAAACATCTATGAAGCCAGGGAATTTAGTAATTGTGGATTTTCCTTTCATCTTCCATATGAAGCTATTTCCTCTGATTATTCTAAATAGAGGAGATTGCATTCAAGTTAGGTGTGTGCAAATCAAATGAAGGCTATGTCCAAGCAGAGAGGCCCATGGCACCTGAATGTGGGGCCAGAAGACAAACAGGATTTACAGGCTAACAGTGAGGGTGTTGAGTCATTGCATGGATATGGATCATTGCCTTGAGAAAGGCAGTGGCTCCTGTACCTAGGCAGAAATGAAACAAGGATGCCCATGTCTATGTTAATAAGTCTGTTCTTCTTTAGTACTGGAAACTGATTATCAGGAAGAATTTCTTCAATTTCTAGCATTTTGCAAAAATTAGTACCTGTTATAGCAAATATTGGTAGCTTTTGTGAAGGAATCTTTAGAGTGTTCTTTTTATGTAGGGTTGGTCAACATGTCCAAAGTACCATCCATATATACAACTCCAGGCTCAGATAAAGCTCATAATAATTAAATTCCCAGGCTATAAGGAGGTCATTGAAGGGTTTGAGGAAGGTGAGGAAAGGGTTCTGTATCTAATACTTTTCAATCTCATTAATATCACTTCTAACTTCTCTTGTCCTTCATAACCTTGATCACTTTCTGCAAATATCTATGTAATTCAAAGCAAGTATTTTTCATTATACCAGGCATTGAATGTGGAATGTGAAGTACTGGCATTGTGTCTCAGCCCCTTCACTTTCTTACTAGCTGAGTGACATTAGAAAAGTAATTTATATAATACTCAGAAGCTCAGTTCTCTTAACTCTGCATTAAGACTAATAATTTCAATTTCTCAGGCACCATATGCCCGTATTGTTATTATTGAATGTAGTATCACAAATAATTGAAATCAGTATACATGCCAAAAATGCCTATTTTTATAATAATATTAATTATCATCAACCATCATGGCACTATAATGCTTGAACAAGCTTTTTACTCAGATTGGGAGAGCATTTTGGCATAAACAAGCTAAACAGGTTGGTTTAATGAAAATTTCTTCTTTTAAAATGTTTCATGTTAACTAGTACTCCCAGGATCAAAGGCTAATTTCAGTTGTTGACAATTTATTTAAAGGTCAAGGCTTTCCCAAGCTCAGTGGATAATAATAAATAGTAAATAGCTCATAGTTTTTCTTCTGGGTCCTGAAAGATAATCCTCTGAGAATGTTTTGTGTCAGAGTAGGATAGGCCATGGTCCATCTAAGGTTGTATAAAATGACAGGTAGCTTTTCTCTTCTATCAGTCTTCATATTATCAGATGACACTAGCAAACATGTTTCTATAGCTTTAC